AACTGAGAGACACCTCATTGTACATTTCTGACCCTTCTTTTCTGTAAGTGTATTTTCTCTGCCACTCAACTTTTAGCCACTTCAGCACACCTGAGATTCTGTCTGTATTTCCTCAACTCAGCCAGACTGCTTGGCTTATTTTGGTTTCCTCCCACGGCCCAGGATCTGGATATTGTCTTCAGACAGAAATCTAGGAATATTGAAAGGCTCAACAGAAATCAAAGTACTGTACTGTCTGTTGTCTAGTATATGGAAACAGTTGTTTAATATATTGTATCCAGTTTTCTAGTTGATTACAGCAGGAGGGTAAGTTTGGTCCTTGTCAGTGAAGCTCGGAAGTGGACGTCTCTCTTCACTGCTTTAAGCTGAGTGCAGTTCTGTCTCTTCTGCTTTGCTTGTGATAATATCACACCATCAGAGGCTGGACCTGCTTCTGTGCACAGCTTTTTGGCTAGCTATTTTCCATTATATTTCCCACCTTGTATCCTTTATATATCTTCCTTCTTGACAAACTGAACTGCAGTGCACTTTTTTCCTGTTGCTTTTTTGCTGACTTACCTTCTTCAGTCTCTACTCCTTTTTTTTCACTCGGCTGAGGCTTATCATTTTAGTCCCAACTCAAATGTATTGTCTTTGTCTTGTCCTTATTGACTTATCTCCCAGTAGGGAAATGGGTGTTTCACTTAACTGTACTCATAACTCTCTTGTATTATAGCTCTGAAGTCAGACTGCATGAGTTTGAATCCTGTCTCTTTTATATAGTATTACTGGTATGTTGTGCAAGTCCTTGAACTGTTAATCTCCTGAATATAAAAGGGAACAATCATAGTGCCTTTCTTATAGGGTCTTATTATTGTCCATCATTATATGTAAAGAATTAGAATAGAAATATCAACATCATCTATATTAACATTCCCACTTAAGCATCTCTATAACATCTGCATGCATGATGATTTATGTATTCTTTCCCCATCTATCATTTTTTTGAAGGGAAAGAATGTATAATATTTATCTACATGTGAGCTTCTAACAAAGTATCCAAAACATACTGGACACTCAAATGTTGGTTGAAATATTGTAATGTTTAGTTGTGTGGATTTTGTTTTTAAGATTGGAATGTAATAGCCTTCAAGCACTGTTTTGGCAAGTAATATTAGGAAGAAAAGAAAACGTATAAGGGGAAGGTTTTTTGGTTTTCAGATTTTTATTTCAAGTAGTTTTATGTTTGTTATCTTGAATCCACAAGTTGGAATTAGTTGATACTGCTTTTAATATTGAAAGCTCAGTCTTAAAACATGCATATGCATATTTTTAGTTAAAGACTCATGAGAGTTTTGTTTTATCTGAAGCTCATGAGAGTTTCATTTTATCTGAAGGATTCTAATTTGAGTTTAGCTTGTATTAGTGAGTATGCTGGATTTATCTTCTTCAATAGGTACTTGCCTCTATCACAGGTGCTCAGGGCCACCTGGTGGGCTGAGGCACAGGGAGCCCAGGTGACTTGATGATAACTCGAAGACCACTGCAAATCAAGCCTTATGCCTATTTGCTTATTTTAAATGTTTTTTTTTTTTAGCTTTCCTATAGTTATCTTGATTATGAATGACTAGAAGGCTGCCATCTTCATTTGACATGTCAAAAAGGAAATGAGCAATGTACTCTAAAGAATGGGGAGATTAATCTTATTTGAACTAGAAAATGCAAATTTCTTATCTCTTCTCATGCAATTAATTTAGCATACTTTGTCTTAATAAAGTTTATTAATAGCAGATTATAAATAAGTAGAAAACTACTTCTAAAAGCAGCAGTGGCTTTCAAAACTCTCCACAAAACCACCTGTGCCATTAGAAATTAACAAATAGGGCTGGCCCGGTGGTGCACTGGATAGTGCGCCGCTTGGGAGCACGGCGGCTCTCCCGCTGAGGGTTCAGATCCCATGTGGAGACCGGTTCCCGCTCACTGGCTGAGTGCGGTGCGGGCACGACACCAAGGGTTGCGATCCCGTTGCCGGTCCCCAGTACGGGCGCGACACCGAGGGTTGCGATCCCGTTACCGGTCAGTAAAAAAGACAAAAAGGAAAAAAAAAAAAAGAAATTAACAAATAAAATTTATATTTCTGAAAAAAGCAGGTCAATAAATAAGATAATTAACAATAAGGTGTTTTGCTGCATATAGAAAATCAGCTTATTTTCTGTGTCACCTTCAGCAAAGCCATGCTCAAAAGGCTGTGCATGTAGCAGTAGGTGGCACATAGCCTGTCCAAGTTGTCACTCAAACCGAAAAATGCAGCTGGTCCAAGATGTTGGTCACTGCAGGTAATTTGCTCGCAAACTTCCTAAATGAATGGCAGAGTTATTTTATTCCAAATTATATCTTAATTTTCCCTTATTTAATTACATTTATTTTATTTCATACATTTTATTTTAGCTTGATAGGTTCATCCTCACCACACCACATTCAGCACTTGACATCACAATTATATTGAAAAGATTGTCACAACAAAACATTGATGGTGCCTTTATACAGCAGCATATTGGAAAATCGTATGTCAGTATTCCTAGGAACAGAATTGCACCCAACTTTTCAGGAATTTTTTTTCTAGAATTGCTATACAAAGGAAATTGAACTGTTCACTCTACATCAAGTACTGATATGTGTCTCTAATGTACTGTCTTTGAGCTTTCATTTGACTGTATATCAAAACTAATTACAGTTTGAATACACAAATCCCTTTAGCTTCAAAATAAACTAAAAGTAATGGATAAGAGCATTTAAAAATAATCTTTGTTATTCCAGTTTAGCTTTGTGTTTCTAATATGGCTATTAATTTGGTGAGAGGGTCTGTTTTTATATTTTGTTCCTTTGGTAAGAATCAGTCTTCTGTCACATTGGATTAAACTGTTGAGGGGTTTGTTTGTTTGTTTGTTTGTTTGTTTGTTTTTTCAGACAAACTTGTTCACGCAGTGAAACTAGAGCTGTTTTGGTGAACATCAGAAAGAATCATGATGAATGGGTGAAAACTCACTTTGGTCTGCTCACCACAATTTAGGGCCTTCTGCATTTTGATAAGATGTAGAAATATGTTTTATTTACCATGTAATGTAGAAACATAAAAGAGCAGTTGGCTTATTCAGTTAAACATAATTATGTACTATATTACTTTAAGAATTTTTAGGATCTGCTGGTGCATAATTTCTAAAGACATTTATTTATTAAGTCCTTAATTATTGGTGGCACTATGCTAAATATTTAGTATATGTCAACAGGTCAATCTGTTTGCTTAAGGTCGTGTAGCTAATTTTAGTGGCAGAATCAGGAATAGAATACGAATCTCTGGCATCTCCTTCTAGTGTGTGTTAAGTTTCATAACTCATTTACTTAAATCTTCTAAAATAGATTAGAAATTCTTTCTTCCAATCCCAGTCTTAATCTCTGTAATTTAAAAAAGGGGGGGGGGAAGGAATGTCCTTCCTGTAAATGGTATGCATTGTGGTGCTTTTATTTATTCCTTAAACTTTTATGTGGTTCTAGAATTGTTTCTGGAAGTAAATCATTTTTATGCTAGGAAGTCCAGTGCAGATTTTTATAAGACAATATGTTCATGCTGGAGCCTTTTCAAATTAAAATCATGGAACATTTATTCTGTTTTTTAATATGGCTACTGTTTGACCTATAAGTTTATATAAACAATCTAAAGTAGAAAAGGAGTTGGGGGCAAAACGTCATGAAAACTCTCTGCTGCAAACTCCCATGATCCCTGTTAAATTGTGACAATCCTGACATAAACTGGCAGCACGACACTGGGTTATGACTTTGCAGATGCTGCACAGACCTTCAAAAAACACTGTCTTGAGGTTGTAAAACATTAACCAGCCCATATTGTACCTTTGTGTTTTAAGTAGTCACAGACACATTTGGACAGTTCCCAAGTGACCATGGGTTTTATTTTGTGCACAGTTCCAATTTTTTATAATCAATTTGCCCTGCTCCTCTTTGCGTTCTAACTTCTCCAAATGGTCACAAGCGTGACCTGATTGGGAGTAATCACAAAAGGACAACTTCTTTTTTCACTATTCCCAGGATTATTTTTAATTGATTTTTTATTTTTATTTTTGTCTTGTAACTCAGTGATTTTCAAACTTTGGGTCACAGACCATTAGAGAGTCATGAAATCAATTTAGCGGGTCACAACTAATGTTTTAAAATCTACTAGAATGGACTGGAAATATTAGAGAGCAATACATGACACAAGGGTATCTTTGAAACATTCATGTCAAATATATATGTCTGGGGGTGGGAGGGGTGGACTAATAACAAATTCCTCGAGTGCTTACTTTTCAAAAAATTTGAGTCACTGCCATACTTATTTTATGTGATAGAGTTCCTACGTTATTTTAAGCAGTTTGAAATATTTAATCTTCTTCCCAAATTTGATCTGAGCTTGTGTCAGACCTCCATTCCTTATTTTTACACAAAAATGATAGCAAATAAATGGGTACATTATAATCTGCCTGCCTTTCAGAACAGATCATGATCTGTTCACTTGTGTTCTGTTAAGAACAGCACGATTGAAAACAGTTTAAAATTGTTAAGTGAGGAAGGTCACATGCCATTTCTGTTTAGATTTTGGACATGGTTTTGTATCTGCGAGAATTATTTGTAACTAATTGTTGATATTTAAATCCTGACACATTCTATGCAAATGTGAAATTAATCTTTTTCTGTTCTCAGGTTAATGTGATTGATTTAAAGAAATTATTTAGAATCTGAAATTTTTGATTGGTTATGTAATATATCTAATCTGTGTCGATATATCAGCTTAATGAAATATATTTTCAGTCATATATTTATGATCATAGATTTAAAATAAACTTCTGGTTGGAGTACATTGGAATTAAAAATTAATAATTAAAAATTCTATTATTTAGATCATATTTTGCTTGAGATATTATAACTATTTACAATTTATCTCATATCCTTTCCTTTTCTTACATTTTTAGCTAAAATTGACCAAGAGGCAGAGGAAAATTCACTGACAGAGACTCATAAATGGTAAGAAATGAGGCAGAGGAAAATTCACTGACAGAGACTCATAAATGGTAAGAAATTGCTTTCCTTTAATATAAAACTCTTTTCTAAGAATAGTCTTGTAAAATACTTAGTTTATTTCATCTCAAGAAACTGATTATTAGTTCAATTTTTATTTTCAAGTATGAAGCGAAAGAAAATCTAGTCTAATGGTGTACTTTGATTCCACAATGAATTTCTGAATTTTATTTTTGTGATTCTGGATGCCATTTAATTCTGATAATTACCAATTATTGTCAATAGCTTAGCACCTTCTCTTTCATATAGAACTTGGGTTTGTGGAAATCAAGAAGAGGGAGGACAGCAGGAACGTGTTTCAAGAAAAAGGTTGAGGGGTTTGCTTATAGAAAACTATGGAATTTCCATCAAAAGTGAAGTCCAGGTGGGAAGCCGTGAGCTTCCCTTGGATGAACCTTCACTTCCGGAATGGAGATTTGCAGTCATGGGAGAGCACAGAAAAGTAGCTGAGAAATCTCCCTGCTTCTCTGCCGCAATGATCTCTTCTTCTCCCTTCTCTCTGTATTGGTCAGAGTTCTCTAGAAAAATGGAAACTATTGGAGGCATATATGGGAGGAGGGATTTACTTTAAGGAGTTGGCCCACATGTTTGGAGGAGCTGACAAGTCTGAAATCAGCAGGACAGGCTGCCAAAGGCTGGTAGTTCTGGTAGGACTTGATGCTGCACTTTTGAGTCTGAAACCGTCTGGAGACAGAATTCCTTCCTCCTCAGGAATCTCAGGCTTGAGGCCTTTGATTGGGTGAGACCCAGCCACGTTGTAGAGGGTGATCTGCCTTTCTCAAAGTCTGCTGATTTAAATGTTAATCACTTAAAAACTGCCTGTACAAGAACGTCTAGACTGGTGTTTGACCCAAACCTGGCACCACTGACTAGCTATGTCTACACCAAAAATTAACCACCACACTCTCTAAAGAGAAATCTGATTACTCTTGAGGAAAAATTTGGATTAAAAAAGTTCTTCGCCCTTACTTCATTAGGCAAGATCCTTTACATTCTGTGAACAGATTTCACATATTTAGTAGTTCTCACGTTGGTATAAAATATTGTCCGAGGCAAATTGGTAAACAGAATTGGGCAGTTTCTATGAATAGCAGAAACTAAGCTTAAGACTGTAAATTATAACAAATAGAAATTTCAGTTAGTGGCATGAAAAAAATACTGGCTAATGACAAAATTGTTAGTAAAAGAGCCATATTTTATAATTAAACAATTTACTCTGAAATTCAAAAGTAAAGACAAGAATAATGGGTCATGTGGAACATCTGACATTTCCCCGCAGAAATGTCTCTGTACCATTTTCTCAGCAGTCCTGTGTAACGTGGGCAGCGGTCAGTAGTAATCCTGTGCGGGAGGCAGTGGGAGCCTGGCCCCTTGGTCTTTTGAGTCTGAATCCTGCCTCTCACCTATGATAGTTCAATTACCTTGGAGCAATAGCATAACCCCAGGGATAAAAGTATCTACTTTGTAGGTGAGAATTAAATGAGATCATCCCTGCAAATTCTTAATACTTAGGTAGTGATCGATACATTGTTAATTTCACATTATTATCATAATCAGAGATTGCAAAAAGGTTCATGGTAGAAAATAGACACCAGAGGCAGCTTTCAGACTCAGGCCATGTATTAGTTTGTTTTGTGTTTCCCATTGTCTCCATTGAATCCAGTAGATTTTGATAACAGATCTGTGTTTTGGTGCTTGCACCAAACTGCTGGTCCAGTGGCTCCAAGGATTTACCTCAACTTTTGAATCGTGTCTTTATCTGTGAAAAAAGAGAAACAATATCCACATTGTGAGTGTGGGGATCAATTCGCATAAGTTAAGTGAGTTAAGTACGTATTTGGATCAACTGCATCATGGAGGTTTTTCAGAATTTCCTTCCTTCGTTTTTACCAAAATATCTGGGTTTGGGAGAATGACTTCCAAAATAAACTTTTTTCCCAAAAAATCACCATTGAACTGGAGAAAATTGTATAAAACAGTCATTTAACATTTCCAGAAATTGTTTAAGGGCATACAGTAAGAACCATTCCTGCAAGAATATCTGCTCAGTGTCGTGCATGCAGGGAGTGTCCACAGCACTTGGGTCCCGGCCATCCCCTCCAGTATTGTGGGGACAGGAGCTCCAGCCTGGCAGGTGTGGTCAAGAAGACAAGGCAGCACCTCTCCTAGGCTCTCAGTCTAAGGCTGGGCTCCACCCTGGCTCAGCAGCTGCCTGCCTTGCTTGTCCCTCCTCCACCAGCATCTCTCAGAAGTTCTGTTCTAGACATTGGCACAGATGGCCCAGGGCCCCTTTTCTTCCCCAGCTCTTCCTCATAGGCAGAAGCTCTACCCCAGGTGTCGCAGACCGAGAACTTGGGGTCCCAGTGCTGCTGCTCAGCCAGTGTTAGGGTGGACATTCTAGCCAGCAGGGGACCCATGACAACTGGGGGCCCCACCTCAGCTCCTGCTGAAGCACCAGGAGCATCCCTCTGGGAGGAGTGGGCTGCTGTCCCAATCCTGCTGCAGCTCTGATGCAGGTGGACAGAAGTCCTGCCCAGATGTCTGCAGCTCTGCCCAAGAGAGTGGTGGGCTGATGTTATTTGGAGCAGTGCATAGAAAATACCCTCCCTCAGGGCTTTGTCAAAAGCAACGGAGGTCTCAGTGGAGAGCAATGGGAAGGCCCTCATAGCTCCAGGACACAGCAGCAGCAGGCAGAATGGCCGAGCACTCTGAAGTGGAACAGAGAGAACAGGGAAGACACCAAGAAGGCTCCTTCCGGGACTACAGTCAGCCTGGAGCGGGCGGGCTGTGCATGAGTGCTCAGCTGCAGCCACACCGAGCATCGGACCTGGCTGAGGGCAGTCTGCACATGCTCCCCAAGCTGCATGGGGATCTGTCCACACCTGTCACAAGCCTTACTAGTGCTAGTGCATCAGCACAGCCTCCGGCCAATCACCGGCTAAACATCAGCTATTCTGACCCAGGGGCAACTCCTAGCACACCAGGCTTAAAAATATAGTCACACCCGTTTCTGCACACAGTCTGCTAGTCACAAAATCAGTACAGCAGCTGCAGCTGAGTTAGCTGCTTCTCCTGGCACTGTGTGTGTAAGCAGGCAGAAGCCTTTCTGCCCAGTGTGCTGAGGCTTTCCACTCAGCCAGGCTGGCTGGCTGTTCTCAGGCTTTTGAGGGAATGGCAGACTTTGACCCGGATTCTAGAATCCCAGGTCTCCTTCCCAGATGTGAGGCCTCGGATATTTTGTATCCCACCCCACCCCCAACAGTGGACCATCAAACATGCTCCCTACCTGCATACACTTCTTCAGGTCCCAATGTCCTGGTCTCTTATGGAGCTCCTTGTTGTGCTTGAATTAGCCATAAATTCCTTTACTCCCCCTCCCCCTAAAACAAATCAAAAGCACACACACACACACACACACACACACACTCTCTCTCTCTCTCTCTCTCTCTCTCTCTCTCTCTCTCTCTCTCTCTCTCTCACACCCTCACTCTGAATATTTCAGTTGCCTCAGCAAGGCCCAGGGGGAGAGGAGAGCCTGGACTATGTATTCAGCCATGTATTTTCTCAGTCTTCCCTCCCTCCTTTCATTTGTATTATAGGTTATTCTTATTATGTTCTATGTATCGTATTATCCTAAGCCAGATGAAACCCACCTGGCTCTTACCGGGGGGTCCTGCGTGGCTTTGTTTTGTGCTGGCGCCCTTGGCCTCTTGTTTCATAGTTTGTGTGCCTCCTTACATTTATGCTCTTTCTCTTTGCTTCCCTGCCCCGATTTCCCTGTCCATCCTGACTTTCATACAGTAATTCCACAAGGCTGGAGCCCCTTTCTCTTTCTGAGTATGAAACCCCCCTCACACACTTTTCTCCGTTTTTCTATCAGCCTGAGGAAGCATGTCTTTCTGTAGCAATCTCCTCTGGATCCTTTTCCCTCCTGATTTCCTCTTCTCCTATATAGCCATTAATACATCTGTTTCATTATTGTCATAAAATAACTACATATACAAAAAAGAAAAGAAACAACAGGCAGTCCCTTGCCTGTAACTTCTCTCTCTGCTCTTTACAGCCATCTTTCTCCAGCCACCCTGTCTGTACTTCTGTCCCTTGTTACTAATGTCCATCATCTGCACCTTCTTTTATGATCCCATGGCCCATCTTTTAGGAAGTCTGTCTACCTTATTGGTCTTTTGAGAGAACCATATGTTTTGGTTTGTTGATTATCTCCTTGTTCTTTTGGTTGTGAGTTCCTTTGCATGCTTCTATTTCACACATTTCTGCTCTTTAACATTCCCTCCCTTCCACATATGATTTAAATTTTCAAGAGCCTATTTACTCTTGTTTGTGGCTTTGTCATTTGTAGAGCTGGGTCTGGAGCTCACAGACCCCTCGAGCCTGTTCACAAACCCTTCACACGCAGGACTATGAGCTAGGTAACTGACAAAAAGGTCCTTGGAGCCTCGGTTGAGGTAGGAATAGTCTTTATTCAGCACGCACATGTCGGAGAGCTAGGCAGTACAAAGAGAAACTCAGAAACTCCACTGCTATCATCAAAGTCCAAAGAAAAACTGAGCATCTGCCAGCAGAGTAAACATGCTCAGTTTTTAGATGCCAGTGCTGCTGGCCAGCTTCTGCTTCACAAACTCAAGAACACACACTAGCAACAAAACTGAAAAGATACATTGGTGCACATGTACACTAACTCCACCCACACACAACTTGTTTACAGGAAATGTGCTGCTCGACCCCCAACCAGACCTGAGCCAAGGGAGCCTGACTAAATTATCCTATTTTCCCCACGTGAGTTATGTGAATAATTCATGTGTTTTTAATTTTCTTTGTCTTTAAATTGTATATTTATAGCTATAACTTTGCCTTCAAGTTGTACTTTAACTACAGGCTACTAGTTTTGAAATGTAAAATGTATTTAGTTGTTCAGTTATAACTTGTTT